AATAAAAGGGCTGGGAATGTTGCTCAGTGGTACAGGGACTTGATCCCCAGTACTGCAAAAAGGGGGAAAAAAAGTTTATTCTTAAATATTTTAATTCTTTTGGGGGCTTTTGTAATGGGATTATTTCTTTAATTTTCTTTTCAAATTGTTCATTATTAGTGTATAGAAATTAGCAGATTTTTGCATATTGATGTCATATCCTGCAATTATTTATTTCTCTGTGTTTCTACAAATAAAGTAATGTCATCTGTGAACAGATAATTTAACTTCTTCCTTTACAATTTAGATGACCTTTATTTTTCTTATCTGCCTGCTAACAAGAATGTTCAGTACTATGTTGAATGGAAATGGAGAATAGACATCTTTTCCTTGATCCTGATTTTGGAGGGAAAACTTTCCATTTTCACCACTGAATATAATGTCAATATGTGCTTTACATATATAGGCTTTATTTGATTGAGGAATTTTCCTTCTATTCCTACTTTACTGTTTTTGTCATGAAAGGGTATTGAATTATGTCAGATGCTTTTTCTGCCTCAATGAGCTGATCAATAAGATGATCATGTGACTTTTGTTCTTATTCTGTTAAAGTGGTATATGTATTGATTTGTGTATATTGAACCATCTTTGTATCGGGATAAAACCCTATTGGTTGTGATGTGTAATCCTTTTAATATGGTGTCAAGTTTGCCAGCATTTTATTGGGATTTTTGCATTAATATTTGTCAGGATATTAGCCTGTCATTTTCTTTCCTTGTGGTATCTTTCTCCAGTTTTGGTGAAATCTAGTCTCAATTTCATTTATTTCTGTTCTAATTTTTATCATTTCCTTCCTTTTGCTAACTTTGGTTGAGTTTTTCTTTTCTAGTTCCTTAAAGTATAGTTAGGTTGTCCATTTGAGACTTTTTTAAAATGTAGGTGTTCACTGCTATAATCTTCCTTCTGCTTTTGATGTATCCCATAAGTTCCCATATGTTAAATTTTCATTTATCAAAAGATTTTTTTTAAAATTTCACTTTTCATTTCTTCTTTGGTCCATTGTTTGTTCAAGAATGTACTGTTTAATTTCCACGATTTAGAATTTTTTTAGATTTCCTTTTGTTATTTCTAGTTTTATTCTATTGTGATCAGAAAACACAATAGTGCACACCTGTAACTCTAGCAATTCAGGAGGCTCAGGCAGGAGGATTACAAGTTCAAGGCCAGCTTAGCAATAAAACTTAGTGAGACCCTGTCTCAATATAAAAAATAAAAAGGGTTGGGGATGTAACTCAGTGGTAAAGTGCCCCTGGTCAAAAAAAAAAAAAATACTTGGTATGATTTCATCTTTTTAAATTTGTTAAGATTTGTTTTGTGACATATGATCTATCCTGGAGAATTTTCCATTGCACTTAAGAATGTGTATTTTACCAATGTTGGGTGAGGTGTTCTGTATGTCTGTTAGATCTTATTGGTCTAGTATTGTTCCAATTCTGTTTCCTTAGTAATTTTCTGCCTAGTTGTTCTTCCACTGAAGGTCGGATACTGAAACCTCCTGCTATCATTGTATTACTTTCTATTTCTTCCTTTAATTCTGTCAATGTTTGCTTCATATATTTGGATGCTTTGTTACGTGCCATGTTTTATTATCATTATTTTTATTCTATCTACCCTTTCATCATTATAAAATATCCTTCTTTAACTCTTATAATTTTTTACTTGTGTGTACACAAACACACACACAGAGAGAGAGAGAGAGAGAGAGAGAGAGAGAGAGAGAGCCACTGCTACTTTCTTTTGATAACCATTTGCTTGCAATAACTTTTCCATCTTTGTTTAAGCCTATATGTGTCTTCATATCAATAGCAATTCTCCTGTAGACAACAGTCTTTTTTTTTTTTTTAAGACCTTATTTAGCTATCCTCTCTATCAACATCCCCCACCACATGGTACATTTGTTACAACTGATGAACCTACACTGAGACATCATTATCACCCAGTCCATAGTTTATCATAGGGTTCCCTTTTGGTGTTGTACATTCTGTGTTTGGATAAATGTACAATGACATGTCAGTGTATCATACATCATACTGCCCTAAAAGTCCTCTGTGTTCTGTTGATCCATCCGCCCTAGCAATTCCTGACCTTTCCATTGTCTCCATAATTTTGCCTTTTCCAGGATGTCATATAGTTGGTATCCTATAGTTTCTAGACTTTTCAGATGACTTCCTACTATGTACTATGCATTTAAGTTCCCTCCATCTCTTTTCATGGCTTGAAAGCTCATTTGTTATTATCATTGAATTATAGTCTGTTGAATAGATGTGCCATAATTTAGTTATCCATTCACCATTCACCTACTGAAGGACATCCTGGTTGCCCCAGTTTGGGGCAATTATGAATAAAGTTGCTAAAAATAGGTTTCTGTGTGGACATAGTCTTTAGTTCCTTTGAATAAACACCAAGGAGCCCAATTGCTGGTTTGTATGCTAAAAGTACATTTAGTTTTATAAGAAACTGCCAAATGACCTTCTAAAGTGGCTAGACCATTTTGTATTTCCACCAGCAATAAATACGGGTTCCCATTATTCCACATCTTTGCCAGCGTTTATGATATCAGTGTTCTGGATTTTGGCTTTTTAATAGGTATGTAGTGGTGATACATATTTTAATTTGCAATTCCCTATGATACACAATGTGGAGCATCTTTTCATGTTTATTTGCCATCTCTGTGTCTTTAATGTTTTCATGTCTTTTGCCAATTTCTTAAATCATGCTGCTCATTTTTGTATTTCTTAGTTTTCTTACAAAGACTTCTTTGTATTTTAGAAAAAGTCCTTTAAAGACTTTGCAAATATTTTCTCACAGTCTGTGGATGATCTTCTCATCCTCTTAACATTATGTTTCACAGAGCATCAGTTTTTCATGCTAATAAAGTCCAGTTTATCAATTGTTTTTCTTCTTCTCCTTGCTGTGGGACTGGGAATTAAACCCAGGGGCACTCAACCACTGAGCTACATCCCCAGCCTTTTTATTTTTTATTTTGAGACAGGGTCTTTTCACATTCCCCAGGCTAGATTTGATTTGCAATCCTCCTGCCAGTCTCCCAAGTAGCTGTAATTACAGGCATGAGCACCTGACTTAATTGTTTCTTTCATGTTTCTTTTGTGTGGTATCTAAAGAACTATCATCATACCCAGGGTCACTTACATTTTCTCCTGTTATCTTCTAGGAATTTTATAATTTTCTTTTACATTTAGGTCTCTGATTAATTTTAAGTTACTCTTTGTGAAAAGTTTAAGGCCTGTGTCTAGATTTCTTTTTCTCTTCAATTTTTTTTTTGTAATGGATATCCAATTGTTCCAGTATCATTTAAAATATTAACTTTGCTTCATTGTATTTCCTTTCCTCTTGTCAAAGATTTGTTGTCTATATTTGTATGGGTATATTTTGGGGGGTCTCTATTCTGTGCAATTGAACTCTTTCCTATTCTTTCATCAACCACCCTGTCTTGATTATGATGGCTTTATAGTTAAGTCCTGAATTCAAGTAGTGTTAGTCGTCTTCTTGATCAATATTGACTATGTTGAGTCTTTCACCTATCCAAATAAACTTGAAAACCATTTTGTCAATATCTACAAGATAACTTGCTGGGATCTGGATTTGAATTTCATTCAATCTACAGATCAAGTTAGGAAACTGACATCTTGATAATATTGAGCCTTCCTAACCACAAACATGAAATATCTCTCCATTTATTTAGTTCTTGTTTGATTTCTTTTTTAAAAAAAATATTTATTTGGGCAGGGGATGTAGTTCAAGCGGTAACATGCTTGCCTGGCATGTGCGGGGCGCTGGGTTTGATCCTCAGCACCACATAAAAATAAAATAAAGATGTTGTGTCCACCGAAAACTGAAAAATAAATATTAAAAAATTCAAAAAAAATTTATTTTTTTAGTTGTAGTTGGACACAATACCTTTATTTTATTTATTTTTATGTGGTGCTGAGAATCGAACCCAGGGCCCTGCACGTGCTAGGCAAGCACTCTACAACTGAGCCACAACTCCAGCCCTCTCTTTGATTTCTTTTAACACAGTTTTGTAGTTTTTGTCCTGTAGATCTTGTGCATATTTTGTTAGATTTACATATAAGTATTTCCATTTGGGGGGATGCTAATATAAACCATATTGTGTTTTCAACTTCAAATTCCACTCATTCATTGCTGGTATAAAGTGATAAACTTTTGTATATGAACCTTATATCCTACAACCTTGTTGTAAATGCCTATAGTTCCAATCCTATACAAAAACTCTATCCCTTTACCTTCCCACGCTAATTCATGCTATTAATGTCTTTTAATATTTTGTATTTATTAACATAGTTTTAAGTGATTTTTGATCTTAAATTTTATATCAGAATTAAGCGATTTATGTACCATCATTATATTACTTTTTTAGGGGGAGGGGAGATTGAACTCAGGGTCACTCAACCACTGAGTTACATCACAGCCCAAGTTTTTAAAAATATTTTTTTAACATTGATAGGCCTTTATTTTGTCCATTTATTTTATTTTTTTAATATTTATTTTTCAGTTTTCGGTGGACACAACATCTTTGTTTATATGTGGTGCTGAGGATCCAACCCGGGCCACACACATGCCAGGCGAGCGAGCTACCGCCTGAGCCACATCCCCAGCCCTTGTTCATTTATTTTTATGCAGTGCTGAGAATCAAACCTAGTGACTCACACATGCTAGGCAAGTGCTGTACCATTGAGAGCCACAACCCCAGCTCCCCCAACCCAATTTTTGTTTCTTATTTAGAGACAAGAGTTTTGCGGAGTTGCTTAGCGCCTCGCTTTTGCTGAGGCTGGCTTTGAACTTGCAATCTTCCTGCCTTAGCCTCCCAAACTGCTGGGATTACAGGCATGCGCCTCTGCGCCTGGCTTATATTCTTTTATTTTATATTTGTCTATATATTTAGCCACAACCCCAGCCCTGTTTGGTTCTTTTTAAAAAAAAAAAAAAAAACTTTTAACAGACTGGCTTCATACAAATAAAAACCTTCAGTAATCAGTGTGGTTAAATTCTGAGGATCTCTGAATACTTTGCGGGGGAATGTGACTTCTCTGGGTTTATGCTTGTAATTTCTTAGATGTCTGCCAGTTTCTTTTTCAAGAGCTCAATAATCTCTTGCTCCCTCTGGTGTCTGCCTACAGTGCTGCAGGCTCTCTGGTGCTATAGCAACCAGTTTCTCTGTTCTCCTTTTTACTCGGTGAACCCCAAGCATCCAAATTTTGTTGACTCCAATAAATTCTTCAAAATGTTTGAATATGGGACACACGTTCTACTCTTCTCCCTCCCTCTCCAGGGAGGAGCTGCAGTTGAGAACCTTCTCCCAGTCATACTGAGTATGAAGACCCATGTACCATAGTGTATGCTCTTTGGTGAGACAGCAAACTTCTCTTGCTTTTAGTGGCTCCCCCAGGCATCCAAACTGTTCCATTTCCATCAGCATTCCAAGTTAGGTGAGGTTAGAACCAGTTCTTCGGGCTGCCCTCTGAAAATTCAGTGAAAGTATGTTACACCCTTCTCTTTCACCCTCGCAGAAGAATCTATGGCCCAAGCTGAACTGTGCTGCTTATAAGAAAGGCAATCTTGGGTAAAGCAAAATGATTCTTACCATTTCAGTGTTTCTTTCGTGGCTTTGTGTTTGTCTGAAGCTCCTTACTTCTGAAAGAACTCAAAAAGGTATTTTAGGTTGTATATTGTTAAGTTGGTGTCTCTATGGGAAAATGGTGACTGGAACTTCCTATTTCACCATCTTGCTGACATTATTGACTCATATCTCTACTGTAATGTGATCTTTCATTCACTCTAAAAACATTTGTAACTAGAGATGTTAAAATGTGTAGAAAAAAGTTACCTTTGATGATAGTAAGACACCAGCTGTAGTAAGATGCACCACAGTCTTTTATGGCAAACCATAAAAAGGAGGAAAGGGTTAAGGGCAAGGTGGGAGGAGTGAGGGGAAGAAACTAGTGACATGCCATGATGTAACCCCCTCCACCCAAATTCCTAATCTCTAGAAAAGGATTCTAAACTTATAAAATGCTTGGTTTAACAGAATTTTCTGAAGGAAGAAAGGAAAAGAAAAATGTGAAGGAGAAAATAAAGGAAGTTCACACACACACACACACACACACACACACGTCAAAGCACTGACCAACATAGAAACCACAGCTAATGAGCTAGGTCAAAAAAGGGCAAATGAGATTGGCCAGGAAGTCCTGACCCAAGATCAAAGCAGATACTTGGTACATTGGTATTGGGCTGAAGGCAAGAAGTCTCCAAAAGTCACTGCAGTTGTTTCTAAGGTTCCAGGTCTAGAAGGTTAACCATACCAAGCTCCCTGGGCTGGGAAGGAACCAGTAGATCTAGATTGGCAGTGGATATGATAAAGAGCCTGGTCTTGGCATCAAACATACCTAAATAAATCCCAGCTCTGCCAAGTCAGGTCATTTAACCTTGTAGAATTTTCTTATCTTGAAAATGGAGACACTTCTACTTTATAGCATGAAGATCATAGATAATAGGTGTACAATAACTGGCACTCAGTAGGCATTTAATAGATGGTGACTTTTATTATTAAGGCCATGTGCCAATTTACATGTCTAAGTTTAGGTGACTGTTTAAAATATTGTGTGTAGATTTTTCAAAAACAAATGAATATGAAATTAAAGTGTTTTGTAACTACAAATCATCCTACAAATGTAAGGGAATAATTTGGGAAGTTTTCTACAGCTTAAAAAAAAAATCACAGGCTTTGGGTAGAATAAGGTTCAGTTCCTGGCCCTGACAATTACTTGCTTTTTTATCTTGGGAAGTAACTTTCTATCCACCTGTTTCCACATTTGTTAAATGTGCATAATTCTCCAATGGTTGAGAATTTAGTAAGAGGATGACTGTGAAGTTCCTGGCATATCTCTCCCTGAACAAGTGGCAGGGACCCCACATGATAGGTCAGGTCATGGGTGTATCAGTTTCAACAGATTCACATTCTGCCATTAGCTACAAATGAGAGGAACCCTTACTCTGGAAGGCAGGGACCCAAACTGACTAGAGAGACAGAAAGAGACATCTGGAGGCTGGAGTATAGCTCAGTCGTAGAGCACTTGCCTGGCTAGGTTGGGCTCTGGGTTCAATCTCCAGCACCATGGGGTAAATCAAGATAGGGGTATTTTGTATTTGTTAGAGGAAAGCTAGGTGAACACTAAACTTTCATGTGAAGCCAAATCTAAACCATCTGAGGCCATGTGAAGCCAGATCTAAGCCAGAAGGCCAGAAAACCAGACATAATTCCCTGTATTCCCAATCTTAGGGATAAATTATTGATATTAATGGCAAACTTACTATGGGTCTTAAGATTTTTCTAATCTTATTCCATCCCTCAACATCTACCCCTGCCACTGACATTTTTCCAGCAACAGAAGAAATCCTCAATCATTAATCTAAAGTTGAAAAGGGTCTCATGCTTAGTACTGACTTCCCACACAGTGAATAGTCCAGAGCCATATCACAAGGCCACGCCGGCTCCCATCTCCAGGTTTATCGACTACATGGCTCCTCCTTTAGAGGTCAGCAACGTGAATGTAGTGAAAAAAAAAAGAGCATCAGTAGAGAGCCAAGGAGGCCCAAGTTTAAATGGACTCTACTATATACCTTGCTTCTGTTTCCTCATCTTATACCCTTGAGGACTGCTGACAACTAAATGAAATGAAGAATGTTGATGTAACCAGCAGAATCAATAGCATATAGTGAATACTCAATTGATGTTAGTCCTTTCCTTTCTCCCTTCTCCTCAAACACTTAAAAGACTCAGTCAGCCTCCTTTTCTTTGCTTTTCAGAAGAGCCACCTATCTGTCTTTTTTCTTTTTTTAAAAGTTGTATATGGACTCAATGTCTTTATTTGTTTTTAGGTGGTGCTAGGATCAAACTCAGGGCCTCACACTTGCAAGACAAGTGCTCTATCACTGAGCCACAATTCTAGCTCCCATCTTTCTTTGTTAGAATTCAGTTCCCTTCCAGAATGGCTGCACGGGACACTCTCCCTCACCCCCCACCTCTTCAAGTCAGTCCATGGGTCTTTTTCGTTGAATCATTAAGTGCTAATCATCACAAGGAAACAGATGGAGAGTGAAGTGGGGATAATAGGTAACAAATATGGGGGAGTGTGACGATTCTAGTGGGCTTCTCTTTCATTCCTAAGACAGAACCTCAAACCTCTTCTCAGGCCAAGAAGGACCCTTCCAAGAAGGGCCACTCCTCCCAGCCTCCAGATCCAGAAGCACGACTTGAGTTGGGGTACAGCAGGTAGGAATCTAGCAGCCCACTGCAGTGTACCCTAAACAGTTCATGGACAATATGAAGGTACTTCAGACAGTGATGCCATCTCACAGGTGCTTCCTCAAAGGCCAGAGAACTGCTAACCCAATGACATGAACATGTCTGGAGCCTACCCTACTTCTCTTTCACATCCAACAAGGTGAAGCCAAGACTGGGTTCTCTGACTTTCTATGGCAAGAAATTGCCTGGGAGGATTTTTATTCAGAGTCCCTTCTCAGGATTTCTTAGAGATCCTGGCTTTGGAGGCAACAGGAAACCAATCTCCAAAGTGGGATGAAGCACTTGAAATCAAGGTGGCAGCAGCAGATCCTAAAGGTCTTCTTCCTCCACTAGAATGGGTCTCTCACTCTCTCTTCCCACTCTTAACTGCGGCTTCCCTTCAGCTGGAATCTTTCCCATTCTGCTCACCCAAGTGTGTTTTCTGATGACGAATAAGATTCGAGCTCCGGGAGAAATGCTTCCCACAAAGAGTGCACCGGTAGGGCTTCTCCCCTCTGTGGGTCCTCTGGTGTGCTCCAAAGTTGGAGATATCACTGAAGGTCCGCCCGCATTCAGCACATTCATATGGCCTCTCACCAGTGTGGGTGCGGTGGTGCACTCCAAAGCTGGAGCTGTTGCTGAAGCTCTTCCCACACTCACAGCAGATGTAGGGCGCTGGCTCCAGGTGGGTCCGATAATGCCCAGCCAGTGTGGCACTCTGGCTGAAGCTCTTACCACAGATATCACAGCGGTACGGCCGCTTGCCCAGGTGATCTTGCTGGTGCGTGGTGAGGTCTGAGCGCCGCCGAAAGCACTCCTGACACTTGGGACATTTGTAGTGCTTCTCTTCCAGGTGGATCCGTTCATGCCGGATGCGGTTGGAGCTTCGGGAAAAGCTCTTACCACATTCGGAACACTTGTAAGGCTTCTCACCAGTGTGGATCCGTAGGTGTGTTCTCAGGTTAGAGGTATTGGTGAAGGTTTTGCCACACTGAACACATATAAAGGGCTTCTCCTCTGCCTCAGGCTTTGGAGGAGCAATAGGATTCTCTGGTCCTTCAGCTGGGGCAATAATTTTCTGCCATGGCTCTTCTGACTGTGTTCCTTGTGGCCTCATCAGTGGGTTCTCCTGCCCAAGATCCTTTTCCCCAGATGGGATGTGAGAACCCTCTGAGCCATCCACTCTCCAAGGCTTACCCGCTTCCCCTTCCTCAGGCAGGTGTGGTTCTGGACTCTGCTCCTTTTCACTGCCCATCTCTGAACCCTGAGAATGAACACAAATGTTCAACACCTTTATTCCTTAGATCAAGCCAGACCTTATAAAATCTTACATATATGCCCCTTCCCTATGGAAACATCTATCAGGATAACCTGATTTAACTGGACTGCTTGGACAGAAAGCTTTTACTTACCAACTTTCAAGTGACAAACTTTGACAGATATATAACGCTACCCATCAGAGCAAAACAAGACACAACCTTTGTCTACCACCCAGATGATTTCTATGCAATTGAACAATGTCACTCTTCTTAATACCACTAAAAGATGACTGTCTAGACTGTCTAGATCTGTGTGTAAGGAGCTTTTGTTTTAGGATGAGTTTAATTTCTCTGCCTAACTAAAACTCTCTTTACATTTAATTTATTTTGAAAATGTTTCTTAACCCATTTTGTCCTATGGTCCCAGATGTGGAACACCTATAAAAACTTAAATTGAGCAACAAATATATACCAACTATGGTAATTTTGAAATATGTGAATATTTATTATGTATGCAGAATTTAAAACTTGGGACTTAATGGATTAAAAGTATCCACTTATTTGATTGCCTTTGAAACAAAAATAACAGACCCTCTCATTCCTAAGGCCCTCCTAGTTGTCTACAAGACCCAGGTCTGAATCCTAAATGTTCCACCACCCCATCCCTCTCTAGATCTTACCATAATCTAGTAAATAAAGGGTTAATATCTAGACCTCCAAAACCTATTGCAGGGCCTGAACTATATCTCTTCTGACTGGTCAGTACACACTTCCACCAGTGCCTGGGGCTGCTCTGGAAATACACGCCCTTAAGTCCTGAGCAAGAGATACTGAACAATTACTGCACCCTGCAATAACTTATTGGGCTTTAACTCGGATAATGAGGAATGAGGTGTGGCTCCAGGATTAGGCGTTATCTGGTAGGGTTGAGTTATAGTTCCTTTGTAATCCTACCCCTTGCCCTTTTTCTGACAGCGTCCCCCAATAAAAGCCAACTGGAGAACGAGCACTCTCTCTGTCTCAGCCTCTTGTAACTTTCTTTTGCCCCCATTGTGGGAGCCTGAGGCTGGGAGCAGGGGAAGCCCTCCTGAAGCTTATAAAAAGGTATTCCATGTCTATGAGGTATTTTGTATCACCCCAAATTCACACGAGTGACTTTGGTTCAGTTGCCTGCGCTGGACGGTTAGAGCACATCAGTCTCAAACATCACATAAAAACATACACACACAAAGTCACACATACTCAAAACACGTACAAAGTCACATTCTCACATGATACAGTCACATATACCACAAACACTCAGTCACACTTATACCACACATACATACCACATACACAGCCATGCACACACTGCACAGTCATACAAACACATGAACATCCATACACCTTCACATTACAGTCACATATACACAGCTACATACATACAGATCACATACCATACACATCCCTCCCACACATATAGCCACATTCAATATACATGGACACATACTCGTGTACCATATACACAAACAGCCATACTCTTATATCACACACAGTCATATGCACACACACACAGACACATACCACATACATAAAGATATAAACACTGATACACAAGCCACACTCCTCTCCACAACACAGCTAAACATACAATGCCCAGCACACGGCCTGCTTATGCAACCATCAGTAAAATGCTTGCTAAGTGGCACAGAATCCTTTGGTTCCTTTAGCCAAGGACAGGAAAGGAAAGGAAGAAAAAAGTACTTCTGATAAGACAAGAGTGGTTGCATGTCCTCTGGTCCTTGAAGAAATGATGACACTTCAAAAGGCTGAGTGGGCTGATGGAGATGCTGTCCAGAGCGACAGGAACAAAGGAATGAGGGAGGGAAGCATAGACTATAATGAACACTGACAACAAAGAAGACTGATGATTCCTGCAAGTCAGCAAACATTTTTTAAAAAAAGCCACAGTAAAAGGGGCACTGACTACATTAGCGTAAGTTATAATGGTGACACAGACAGATGATCTTTATAACTTTGCAAATTATTCAGTCACTCTTTGAGACTCAACTCCCTCATCTCTAAAACTGATAACTACCTACAATATAGGTAGTTATGCTGTGGGACTCTGTATTAGAGAAAATGCCTATACTACACTCAGCAGGGTCTGCGAGACATAGTGTTCATTCAGCAAGACAGCTGCTAGTATAATTATCAAAGACATTATATCCTAGCTTTGTGAAGAGCACAAAAAGATCAAAAAGATACTTTCAATGATATTATTAGGAAAGAAACGTGTTTTAATTAAAAAAATAGTACAAGATTACATAATCTCAATGTGAAAGATAGAATATCAACTCTCTAAGAAGCAGAGATCAGCAAACTTTCTGTGAAAGGTCAGATAACAAACACTTAATAAATATTTAGGGCCATAGGATCACAGTTGTAACTACTCAACTCTGCCACTATAGCATGAAAGCAGCACACACAAGATGTAAATGAGTGAGGCTGTGTTTCAATAAAACTCTGTTTAAAACAACAGGTAACAAACTGCCATTTAACAATCCCTGTTAGCATTCCTTGAAGAATTTAGATAAGCAATATGAAGATTAATAAGCCTGCTTTAAACACCAGTACTTATTCCTTGATACTTAACTCTTCTCTGATTATCCTGTAAAAATCACAACCTCCTCCCACACTCCCAGTATTTATTATCTGCCTCCCATGATCAACACAAGTTCTATGAGGGCTGGGATCTTTGTTTATTCACTAATGTAACCTATACTTGTAGAATAGATGCAACATAGATGCTTAATAAACATTTGTTGAATGAACTGAATAAAGGAAGGCCAAACTTGTCTCCAGAACCCATTTTATGCCTATTCACATCTATTCTTATCCAATGTTTCTTGGCAATTTCCCGATTCCTCCCCACTTTCTCCTTTATGTGCCCACAGAATCTGGTGCTTGCTGTTATGGTGATCTGTAATTACCTGTTTCCACTAGTGGTTTATAAGCAACTTGAGGAAAGACTCTGGGTCATCACAGTCTCTTTCCTACATAATCTTCTGTAGCATAAAGTGGGGTATGCAAATGTCTTTTGAATGAATGAGTAAATGGATATTATCTTAATCCATTCCCTGCCCCTGCCCACCCCACCTAGGACTCCAGTGTCTGTATGCGATGAGCTATATGGTCTGCATTCACTTCCAAAACTGTTATTCTGAGAACCTATATTTTACCAAGATTGGGCTCTTCCCAGGACTAAATGCTGGGTCAATAAAAGAGCAAAAAGATTCAGAATTACAACTTCCACCCTGAAACAGTTTATTATACAATGTAGTGAAATAGACATGAACTCCAGAAACTGCCATTCAATAAGAAGGTTAAGTTCCAGTGGGCAAGGAACTTATATACCATCTCCTCAGTGCCTAGCACAGCACCTGGCATATTATATAGGAACCTATAATAGTTTTGTTTTTTTTTTTAAGCTCCTACAAAGGGCTAGGCCCTGGCCTAAGCATACATATGAATCACCTCATTTAATTTTTACAGTTATTCATTTTTCATCCTTATTTTACAGATGAATAAACTGAGGCTCATAGAAATTAAGTGATTTGCCCAAGAGCACAAAATAAGTAACTGGCAGAACTGCAGTCTACCACTCCAAAGTCAAGGTTTTTAACCATTACACTAGTACTGGTGGGAGAAAAAAAAGGGAAGGAGGGACAGAAATAAAGAAAAGAAAAACAGTCACAGGAGTTCAAATGAAATGGGCAGATCAGGGACAAGCAGCTTCATGGAAGAAATGGTATTTGAGGTAGAACTTGCAGGATGAGTGGGTAAACAAGACCCAAACTGATAAAAAGAAGGGAGCTCATTACCTACTGAGAAGGAGTAAAGGTAAAATACAGGACCATACACATCATATTTCAGAGATTTGAGGGAGAAAGGGGCCTATTTGGCTAGTTTTCCTAGGGACTCAGCAGAACCCGGAGCAAGAGTGAAAGAGATCGAGGTAGTGGAGAAGAAGCCAGGTCTAACAAACACCAGTCAAGATGGGGCTGGTGATCACACATGATGAAAGCCAAGCTGATATGTGGCCTGAAGGGTCAAAGTTCCAGGTCTGCAACCAAATCAAAGGAGGTGAGAGGTGTGGGGGATGAGGGGAGAAGAGCTTGGAAAGAAAACAAGGACAAGGTGTTGAGAACAGGGGAGCTAGAAAAAGCGTCACAAGATCTGAGGAGATGTGATGCAGAAGGGGTTCAAAAGCCGTCATCAGGTGTCAGAGACCAGGGCCCAAGATTTTGGGTCGTGTGCAGGGGGCGGGTGGAGAAGTCAAAGGGTACAGCGTTCTGGAAGGCAAGAGTGGGTCTGAGACAGGAGGGTGGAAGAAACGAAGGGCTGATCCCACAGGTATGGTCAGTGGCAGGGCCCTGGAGTGTTCAAAGGTCAACCGGGAGAAGGGCGGGGTAAGGAGTGGGTGTAGGGACAACCGACCGGCCGCCTGGGCTGGGGGACAGCGACAGGGTCGGGTGGAGGGACCAGAGGGCCCCTTTGCTACCCACTGGGTCCTGGAGCAAAGCAGCAGCCGCCAACTCCTCGGTGAGGGGAAGGGACCGTCCTCAGAGTGCCCAGCGAAGTCGTGTCCGCCTCCCCCCGCGACCTCGGCCCAGCCGCAACCCACCTCACTCCCGCCGCTCAGTCAGGTACAGCGCCGCCTCGCTGGGCGGGGGAAGGAGCCGGAGACGGAACCCATGAAGGACCCGCCCTGCAGCTCCAGGATTGGGTTCTGGGAGTCACTCTTCCTTCCCATTGGCTGTATTGGCTGCCACAACGCACGAGGCCCAGGCGGAACCGCCAATAAGCGTTGGCCTCGGACGTAGCATGCTGGGAGCTGTAGTCCCGAAGAAAACCGTAGCCTCGAGGAAAACATTTGCTAAGTTGAGAACCGAACTGTGGAAACTGGTTTTGTTTCTAAGTAAGGTCTTAAGGTTTCCTTCCTTTGAATTGGTGGCCCTTGAGGGTCATCCAGCGAAGCCTTGAGTCTGGAACCTCACTCAAGATTTATAATTAAAATTTAAAGGAGTGTGGATCTGGAAGGGAGTTTAAAGATAATGTAACACAGTCCCCTTATTGAGGAGCTAAATGTTCCCGGTCCAAAAAAACGACCTCCAAGTCTCCCGCGGCGCTGCGCAGGGATTTTTTTCTGGGTCCCATATGCATCCCCAGTTAAATCTGACAGTCGATGCAAGATCACTAAAGTTTCCAGCTTTAGGATTTCGGGTTTTTTGGGTTTCATTTTATAAAGATGATAAAAACTAAGTGAATATGCAGGCTAACTACAGGCTTTTCAATATCTGCATGATATTTTCAGGGCAAAGGTGGGGGGGGGGGTGGGGGGGGGGAGCTCTGCCTTCAGAGACAGAGAACAGGTTTGTAAACCCAGCACTGCCACCTAGGCATTTGGAGCCCCATTTTCCTCCTCTGTAGAAATTCCTGGCCGATTGTGAGGATTAAATGAGTTCATAGTTAGATTAATTGACTGATGAGATAGATAGAGCTTCTGCTTCCACAAATGTCAGTTTTCGTCTTTACCCGACTCCACTCCACCCCATACCGAGGGATTGAACTCAGGAGGCACTCTACCATTGAGCCAAATTTCCTGCGCTTTTTTTTTTTTGAGACAAGGGTCTTGCCAAATTGCCCAAACTGACCTCTAATTTGCGATCCTCCTGCCTCAGCCTGGGTAGCTGGGATTACAAGGGTGTGCCACCGTGTAGGGTAGTATCAATTTTCTTTTCTGCTGGTAAATTCTCTTCATGTGCTAGTGGTGATTGTGCACACATGTAATCCCAACGACTGGGAAGGCTGAGAGAGGAGGATCGCATTGCAGGCCAACGGTGGCAATTTAGTGAAATCCTGTCCGAAAATTTTTTAAATGCAAAGGGCTTGAAATGTAGCACAGTGGTAGAGTACCACTGTCACTTGGTTCAACCATTCATATATATCTCACAATGGGTGTTGCCAGTGTAAACAATGTGAGTTCGTTTTAAGATTGGAATATTCAGGAAAGTGTTTTTAGAACTGAATATGCATGAGAGAAATCAAACACCTGTTGTACACAATTAATTTATAAATTGATAAAAACAAAACATTAGAAGGCAGACTCAAGAATAGAACTTTTTTTATGAACTGTGGTTAAAACTTGCTTCAGTGGACTCAAAAGTGTTTTAAAATCCCAATCCCATAATATGTTTTTCTCTTAGCAGCCCAAAGCCTTTCCCCTTATAAACTTCTTGTTTATAAGGAAAACAGCATAACAATGGATACCAAAAGTTTTATTCAATAACTGTACAAAATCAAAAAAATTCTACTCAGTCACTGTGATGGTTAATTTTATGTATCAGCTTGCCTGGGTCACAAAGTACCCAAATATTTGATCAATCATTATTCTGGGTATTTCTGTGAGGATGTTTTTGGATAATATCAACATTTAAATCAGCAAACTGAGTAAAGCAGATTGCTCTCCCTAAAGTAGGTGGGACTCTCCCAATCATTTAAATAACTGAAAAGAACAGAAAGTCTGATCCTCCCCCAACCAAGACAGAAATCACCCTACCTGACAGTCTTTGTATGGTATATTAGTTTTTCCCCACCTTCAACTTGAACTGAAAACATTGGTTCTTTCTTGGTCTTGAGGCTGCCAGCTCTATAATCATATGAGCCAAGTCTTATCAATCCTCTTCCCCCACTCGATATATATGTACACACACACACATTCTATTGATTCTGTTTTCTGGGAGAACACTGTTATAAGTGCTAATAGAAAGACCATTAAACAGACAAAAAGATCTAGTTTATTCTGGGTCACACTGTATATCCATCTGCAAAACAATAGCCAGTGTCTCAACAAATAAGCCATATCACTCCCCAAAATCCGATTCATTATTTTATCCTTCCACCTTCTTATCTTTCGAATAAGAATCCACCAACAACTTCTTTGAAATCAATACTCTCTGACCTAAGAGGCTGTTTGCTGCACAAATAGTCAAGTCTTCCATTATAATGGTCTTGTGGGGGGAAAAAAAAAAACTGTTACTTTTTTCTCATGGGGCCTCTCTGAATCTCAGGAAAGTATTCAAAATGGCCAACGCAACAGACTGGCTCTTCTGACTCATCTGCCACAACAGACCTATTCCTCTGTCTCTGTCTGTTCAAGGCCACACACAGCTGAGTTGCTCTGTTATAGCTGTGCTTCCTAACTGTGCTTCTGAGGATCCTCAGAATTATGGCTGCTGTATTTAAAATTCCTGTACCTGATTATCCTCAATATGTAAATTGGCTTTTGAAAAATGTACATTTGCTCTGAATGTCTCCAAACTATGTTATAAACATTATCAAGAAAATAAAAAAAGATGGCATATGTGACCCCTCTGCCCTACCCCAGCTCCTGAAGAAAGAAGGAAGGGTGTATGATTTTATTATTTTTAAAAACCTGACTTTGCGGGCTAGAGGTCTAAACTGAGAGTGAGAAAGAGAAGGATGGGGCCAGAGGTGTGTTGTGGGGGGTGGGGTAAGGGGCAAACAATCCTTGATAGAATAAGTAAGAAGTCAGGGTCTGAGGATCTAATTGCATCACTGAAAGTCCAAATGCAGGATGAATCAGAAGCAAGTACTCAAAAATATCCCCTTGAGTAGAAGACCCTTTCCCTGAATCTTGAGGACACATGTTCAACATCACCTAAACTGAGCATTTGCTTTTCAGGGTTATGGGAACCCTAAAAGAAAGGCAGGGTTCAGAATTGAGCCCTAAAAAAGAAGTGGTACAAATTGAAATCACACAAGGATCTGGATTTCAGTTAAAGGGAAGAGATGTCGCAGGATGAGGTGTGGACCAAGAGACTGATATCCAGAGTCCCCGGGCTGGATGTCATGGGAGCGGGACACAAGGCACAGTTCTAAAAAGAAGGAGCCTTGAGCCCCTGAAGGGCTGGGCCCAGGTCAGAGGGCCAGGACATCCCTGGGGGAAGCTCTGGGGCCTGAGGAGGTAGTAAGGAAGGGTTCACCTTCAGGGACACATCTCCATTAGCATGGCCCTTTCCTTCTGGCTTGGGGACAAGTGAGTCCTCTGATTTCTGGAGTTCTGAACAGATGATTAGAGGCGCTATGTTCTTCCCTCCATCATGAAGACAAGGTTCAAAGAAAGGGCGAAGGGGGCCAGAGAAACTATGAGTGAAAGTAAAGATGTGGGATTTGTCAGTCACGTTGTAGAAGGAGATGATTCCCGCTTCATAGTCCAGGAAAATCCCCACACACCTCGGCGGCTCTTTCAGGCGGAAGGAGGTCTGCGGGGAGGTGAGAGCTTGGTACTCATTACCACGACTCTGTCGCAAAAGCCAGTGTCCATTGGCGGGCGAGGCAGTGACCTTCCCCTTCCTGCTCACCGACTCGCTACACACCCCAAGGATCCATTTGGTCTTGTCTCCCACATACACTTCCCAATAGTGACAGCCAGCCGTGAAGTACTCAAAGCCCAGAACACTGACGACGAAATCAAATCTCTGGGGGTTGTCAGGCACAGGCTGCTTTCTGTCACCAAGCTTCACACATCTCCGATCCTCAGATAGGATGAGTTTGGGATGTGCTGTGTCTGGGTCCAGGGTCACTGCCACTGCAGAAAGTCACAGAGAAATGAGGACTGGGAAGACTAGGTCTTAAGGGATTTTGGGGGGTGTCTTTGGAAAGAGCCATAATCTCTAGGTCTGCAATCACCATCATTGACCCATTTCTTTTCAAGCCTCCTTGTCCCTGCCACATAAAAACCAGAACCATAGAATACTATCTTTCAAGAAGTTGGTCACCTGGCAGGGTACAAAGAGGGGAAAGTGCTTCACCTGTCTGTGAGGCTTCTTTAATCCTTAGGAAATAACATCTTTGTCTTTGATGTTCCAAAGAAATCTAATGAATGATTTAAACATAGACTTTGATGTTAGACTCTACAGCCACATGTCTCAGTCCCAGCTCTGCCATATGCTAGTCACATGACCTTGGGTTTCTTGATCTTCTCTAAGCTTAGCTTCATTATCTGTAAAATGGAACTACTAACAGAGCCTACATCATAGAGCTGTCACATAGATTGCTGAACTAATGCATGAGATTATGCCACATTCCTACAGAGAGTGGAATTGTTGCCTAAAATTATTAGTAGTATAGAGAAAAATAATTCTTGCTTGAATTGTTGGTTATGAAGCTCGCAGTGAGTCTCACTTTTGCCCCAAATAGAGGAAACACATTCTTCTTGGGGAGTTAAATACACAAAATCTATATTCTGTTGAGATGGTGGGAGTAATTAGACTGTGAATGTGAGACAGGAGGCTTTGTGAGTTCCAGAATTCCGACCAACGTGACCCAGTATTCTTTCAAGTGATCATTTCAGAGAGTATAAACGGGAGGGAATTAAAGTTCCTGGAAATGAGCTCAAAGCAGTGAAAAGAACCAATCTACTCAAACAGCAGTAGAATTGCAAATTATAAGAAATAAATTGAAAGAGAAACTTAGAGCCATTAGCACACCTATAATCCCAGCTACACTGGAGGTTGGGGCAGGAGGATCACAAGTTCAAGGTCAGCCTAGCAACTTAGTAAGATTCTGTCTCAAAATTTAAAAACAAAAATTTAAAGGATTGGGGATATAACTCAGTGGTAGACTGAACCCCTGAGTTCAATCTCCAGTGCTGTGAGAGGAACAGGAAACATTAAAAGATGTAAATCTTTTAGAATAAAATTATGAACTTTTTCATAGTCCATATTATTGGGGTATCTTGCCAACCCATACGCTTCTTCTTTGAGAATCTTGTCACTATCACCCAAGAAAATTGGTCCACAGAAAAAGAATGTGAATGTGACAGGTGTATATAAAGAGGAAAAACAGTAACTATTTATCTGATTGTAGTATAGGAAGGACTTTCCAAATCTGAAAGCACTGAAGAGACCACACAGGAAAATATCAATAAAATTGACTTCATAAAAATAAATGCTTGTGTATCCAAAATGTTATAAGGAAATTAAAATGCAAATGAAAAATAATTAAAGGGAACGGGAGCAGACAACTCACAAAGAAGAAATACAAATAACTGATAAACTTAAGGAAAAATCTCAAAAATCATAAAAAATGTGCAAAAAAATCAAACCTAATATTTAGCAGTGTTCTAAAAGAGGGTAAACTTTCTAAATCTAAATGTGACTCCTAAAAATCAAAGTTTAAAAAATTTTTGATAATCAAATAAATGGATTTGATTTAAAAAATTTTAAATTGCAGTCTGTATTAGAAAGGAATGGAGCCAAATCTAAGGCTACAGAAGAAAATGATCCTCCTGCCCCAACCTCCAGAGCCTTCAGGAGGATGGGTTCTGAATGTGAATCAATCTGATTAGTATAACTTACCAAAATGTAGCCGGGCTCTTCTCCAGCCTGAAAGACATAAAAGAAGTACCACAGTTGGGTCATGAATATCTCCCAAAGATCTGTGTATTGAAGGCTTGGTCTCAACCTGTGGCCCTGTTAGGAGGTGATGGAAGGTTTAGGAGATGGGGCATAGTGGAAGGAAGTTAGGTCCTTGGGGATATGCCCTTGAAGAGGATATTGGGATTCTGGCCCATTTTCAGTTTCTCTCTTTGCTACCATGAAGTGAGCAATATCTTCTGCCACACACTCTCACCATGATGTACTGCTTCTCCAAAAGCCCAGTCAACGGGCCAACCAATTATTGACTAAAACCTCCAAAACTGTGAGCCAAAACAAACCTTTCCTCCTTACAAGTTGTCCATCTCAAGTATTTTGTCGTAGTAACAAAGAGCTAGCACAAGGGAATTGTTAAACCAATAAAGAAATCAAGAACTCTCTTAGGGTGGGGATCAAACATAGGGAAAGTGCATCTCACTCACCTGAGTTGGCTGCAGCTCTTTTCAACTCTATGGAAGAAGAAACAAAGCAGGTGAGCTATCACTGAGAACCTCAGGACAACAGGAGATAAGTTGATATGGAGGTTATAAGAATATGAGAAACTTACTCAGTTCCATCCGGAGTTTCTCTAAAGAGTAAAAATAGTTGAACAAATCAGATCAAGGGCTACTACATATCCACAATGTTACTGTCCCATCCTACCCACAGTCCTAGAGCAGATCCTCAATAGGCATACTCTAGAACTTCCCCATTAAGAATGTCTATAATGGCAATATCTTCCAGCTATGGGCCTTGGGTCCCCAAAGATACAGCAGAAGGTTAACAAATTTTTATGTGAGCCAAACCTTACCAGCAGACAAATAACTAATGCCTCTCATATCCACAGGTAATGACAAAATAAATGTGTATAGATTATGGTGGGAAAAGAATAAAACATAAGTTCATTTAAAACTATCACTGAGGGGGCTGGGGATGTGGCTCGAGCGGTGGCGCGCTTGCCTGGCATGCGTGAGGCCCGGGTTCGATCCTCAGCACCACATACAAACAAAGATGTTGTGTCCGCCGAAAACTAAAAAATAAATATTTAAAAAAAAAAAAAAAAAAAAAAAAAAAAAAAAAAAACTATCACTGAGGGCTGGGGTTGTGGCTCAGCAGTAGAGCGCTCACCTAGCACCTGTGAGGCCCTGGGTTGGATCCTCAACACCACATAAAAAAATAAATAAGCGGCTGGGATTGTGGCTCAGCGGTAGAGTGCTTGCCTAGCACGGGCGGGACCTGGGTTTGATCCTCAGCACCACATAAAAAAAATAAAGGCATTGTGTTGTGTCCATCTACACCAAAAATAAATAAATAAATAAATAAAGGTATTGTGTCAGTATACTAACTACAACTAAAAAAAAATAAATATTTTTAAAAAAACTATCACTGAATCTCTGTTAGATTTTATTATGTATATTTTCTCCTTGTAAAACAAAATTGACATGTCACATGTCTTCAGATATTTTTTAAATAATAAAAAGATATTCTTATAGATGAAATGGTGGAGGCACCCTGCTCCAGCATATTCAGTCAATGGGGATCCGTCTGCCTTGGACGCCACATAAGGAAAGGCCATGACAGGGTGATAAAAGATACTTCCACATGGTTTCACCCATGGGAGCCATTTCTCCTCTTGGTAAAACATTTCTCATTTAGAGACTAGATAACAGTTATGCAAGAAAGAGAAGCTGGGAATACTTGAGAAAAGAAGACTCCGAGAGCCAAGGAATTCCCAGTCTCATGGCTTGAATTATCTTGCCCCCTCCCTTCTATCCCAGGAAGTGAAACTGAAATGCTCATCCAAAAGCAGGGATGTCAGCATAAGGAAGTTGTGCTATGGAGGAGTAGAACTTACTCAGGCCTTTATGGAGTCTTCCTAAAAAACAAGAGAGAGAAAGAGAGAGAGAGAGTGAGAGAGAGAGAGGAAGGAGTGAGTGATTGGTTCTTGCCCCTTTATCCCTAGGGCCCTAGAAGGCTCACCATCTCTCCCACCATGATGTACTGCCTCCACCCCCAAAAATGGAAAGGGATAATTTTCCATTAGTCCCTAAACCAATACCAATACCATGTCCCATAAATCAGACTCAGGAATCCAGTGGTGCTAGTACCACCTTCTCTGCCCCATCCTAACCCAGATTTTGGTTCCTCTTTTCTCTTTTGAATGTCTGGTTTCATTTCTGCTGTCTGAGTGTTTCCATACGTTTGTAATTGTGGTAATATAGCCTGCTACCCTTTTAGAGTCTGCTGTTGATGATATGATAAATGTATGATATCATATTTGTCACAAATTATTTTTCATTTGCATTCTGTTTTAGCTAGTGTAAAACTAGTTAAAAGCCTGGCATCAACTTGTTGATGTGGCTTTATGATTCTCTACAGCAACTCCCTGAAGTTAAAATTTTCACAAATTTGGAGGCTGCAGGAGTTTGGGATCATGCTTCACATGCCATTGGGAGAGTCTTTGTGGTTTCTCTGGCAGGGTCATCTGGTCCACTTGTTCCCCTACCTTTCATTGGCCCTCCCAGAGAATTAGCATCAAACACCTGAGTCCACCACCAGGCCTTGGGCTAAGGGCTGAGCATGGTTAGGCATTTGGTTTTAGAGCAAGGAGGCTAAGTATGTCACAGCTCTTTAGGAGCTTATTGATTCTTTTTTCTCCACATTTTTATTGGTGTATTATAGTTGTACATAATGATGGGATTTTTTGGTTACATATTAGTACATGCACACGGTGGAACACTAAGGGGCTTATGGGTTCTTGTTGCAACTTCCACTACTAACAGCTTCCGTCGACTGTGTCATTTTCTCATACTGAGGCATGTTATGAATCCTCTCAAGAATATGAGTGGCATAGAAGTAGTATTCCTGTTTTACAGAGGCATGGTCTGAAGCTCAGAGGGACATGAAATTGGCTCAAGGTCATCCAGTCAGTAAGTGGCCAAAGAGGCAGGATTCAAACCCAAGTCTGTCTGATTCCTTCGTCAGAGGCCCTCAACAATTGGCCTAGGCAGAATGGCCAGAGTGTCTGCTGTGTGCACCCACATTCTTATCAACTTGGAGGAGATATAAGTGGGGGAAGAGAAGAGCTACCAACATCATTGAATTTGGAGCCATCTGGGCCAGTGACTTGTCTTCCCAGAGAAGCTTCAATAGAGAGTCTAACTTTTACCCTCAGTGGTTCACAGCACACATTCAATTAATGAAAATGAAATGGCAAGAAGGGAAAGGAGTTCCAGGCACTATGATAGATTGTTGTTGTTGTTGTTTGTTTGTTTTTGTTTTTTTGTTTTTTTTGTTTTTGTACCAGGAAGTATTTCTTCTGAGCCACACCCCCAGTCCTTTATATATTTTGTTTTGAGACAGGGTCTCACTAAGTTGCTTAAGTTCTCACTACGTTGCTGATGCTGGCTTTGAACTTGTGATCCTCCTGCCTTCGACTCCCAAACCACTGGCTTTACAGGTGTGCACCACTGCACCCAGCAAAATTGTCTTTTTTAATACTGAAAACAATCAGATAAGAGAACTTATTATTTCCATTTTACAGATGAGGAAACCAAAACTCAGAGCAGCAAAGTGACTTTTCCAAGACCTGTAAGTAAGTGGCAGACTAGGTGTCACAGAGCTTGTGATGCTTCCCTTGTACCCTCTTTTCATGCCATGATCGTAAGGACTCTTAAGATCCTCATACATCCCATATAAACATATCAATATGTTTTAGATGATATGCAGATTTCTTTTTCAGTGATTGGTGGAAAGGCTGATAAAGACATCTTATGATGATCCAGACCTATTCATTTTGATCTGATGGCCTCCCCTCACTGCCATCAGATCCATAGCCCCTTGATGCTGGAAACTAAATTCCAATAATATTAATTGACTGTTGGTAATTATGTATAAAGAGAAAGAATATGTTACTTGTTCCTTATATTTTACTTTAAATATATAATTACCTTTTTCTTTTGCATGGTCTGCAAGAAGATTTTCTAGAGGAAGGAAAGAAAAAGAAAATGAGATTCTTTGCTATTACTTTGACAAATCCTACTGGTTTACCTGCTCTTGAACCTGTGCACTTCCGTCCATCTTCTCCACTCCCTGATCTAGTCCTTCATCATCTCTTATCTGGGCAACAGAAACGGCAATTCAATTGCCCCCTACATCCTATATTACTCTTTCTGATTATCTTCTCAGAGAGAGATTTCCAAAACACAACTCTGATCAGAAGGTCCCCATTCATTGCTTTACCACTGCTCTTAGGAAAGAGACTAGAATCCTTAATATGACCCACAAGGCCTCCCATGATCCAGCCCTATCATCTCTCCCCTTTGCTCTGTGCCTTATCAGCTCTTCACTTAAATACTACTCTCTCTGACCATCCTTCAAGTCAAACATTACAATCTCAGGCCTCAAGCGGCTTGATTCCTCCTGCTCGGCTTTCATAGAACCTTTTTTGTAGCATTTGTACACATTTATTTGTGTAAAGATTTAATTCATATAATCTTCCTGGCTAGTTTGAAAGTTCCAGAAGGGCAGAATCTTTGTCTGCTTTTGCTCACCATTGGATTTCCCAAATCTAGTATGATCCAGGGTCTTTAGTAGACCATTATCAATTATGTATTGACTGAATAAAAGCTTCTCCATGTTTAACCTGTGAATAATGAGCTCACAGGCAAAAATCACCAAACATACCAGAAGGCAAGCTATTAAAATAAAAGCTTCTAAAAACCAGAAGCAATGGATTTAGATTCCATCACCACCCCACCAAGGACAGTGGAAGATGGAATTTTCAGGTATACAACTTATATTAGTGGATGCTGGGTATATAAAATTCAGCAAAACAGAAATATTTCCCCCACACAGCCCAGGACACTTACCTACCTCCATCACCTGTTCATAGAGAAGCTTCTCTAGAAGGGAGAGAGAAAAGGGGGTCAGCTGGTCTTTTTTTCTTTCCTTTTTTTTTTTTTTTTTTGTGTGTGTGTGTGTGTGTATGGTGTTGGGAATTGAACCCAGGGCCTTGTGCATACTAGGCAAGTGATCTACCAACTGAGCTGTACCCCAGCCCTCAGCTGGTCTTTAGGGAGGGTTTTTACTAACAAGCTAATTGTCCCAATATGGACCAAGGGTGTGTGCCCATTTGAAAAGATTAGAGGGAGAGGTGTTGGATTATACAACTCTCCAAGTCCATTGCAATCATGAGATCCTGTGAATGTGATCATTTTAATGAGAGTTTTATCCAAAGAGTATGATTGGATTTCCTAATTAGAAGGCTTCTAATTTATTCATTTATTAAAAGGCTGAGGTGACTGATTATTGTCTAATACCTCAAAGGATAAGAATTCATAGCTCTGCCAAGGGCCTTTCTGCAGTTTATTTTATTCCCTTTACAATGTGAGTCCCCGGGGCGTGGTTCCATCAGTATTCTCCCAAACAACTTGCAGGGTCTCCAACCTATAGATAAGCATCCTGCCTATATCCACTTCCTCCTGGTCTTTTCCCAACCTGGGCTCCCTTCCACCTACTTACCTCTTGATCTTTTTTGCTTCCAGATGAGGCAAATGCCTACTGTGATGAGGAGCCCCAGGACAGGCAGGACCACAGCCAGAGCCACTGCTGAGGAGGAGAGCATTCCCGGGGATGGGGCTGAAACAGAGACCACTAATGAGCACTCCCAGGAAGACATCTGAGAGCTGCTACCTGCCTCAGATGCAAACAGTCAGGTGCATCCCAGCCGCCTTCATCACCTCTAGGGATGACCATCACCTCTTGGTCATCATCTGACCAAGATGGGTGAGGCTCTTTGTTCTCTTGGTAACTCAAACCCTGGAGGACATTAAAGGTAAGTGGGATTTAATGTCTCAGGAAGGGTGTTGATGGCCCTGCCTGAAGTCCATGGGTTCAACTCAGCTTCTCAACCACCATCTCATCCTGCCCCAAACTCAATAGAAAAATAATTCTGCGGGCTGGGGATGTGGCTCAAGTGGTAGCGCGCTCGCCTGGTGTGCGTGAGGCACTGGGTTCAATTCTCGGCACCATATAAAAATAAAAATAAAGATATTGTGTCCACCTAAAACTGAAAAATAAATTTAAAAATAATCCTGGGACCTGCAAGGGCTCTGCTGAGTAATCACCCAGCGCCTTCTCATGAGCCGGTCTGCTCCCACTACCTCTCCCTTCAGACCTCTTTGCTCTGGTCTGGAACAGCAGAAAGCAGCCTCTTTGCACCCAGCACAAGAAGGAGCAGCAAAATAAACTCTAGGTGCTATAGCAGCAGGCCTAAAACCTAAGCAGGAGAGGAAGGAGGAAAGGAAGAAGAAAGAGAAAAAAAGAAAAGGAGAGAAGAGGGCTATAACAAGTGGTGGCAAGCCCAAACTGGGTGTGTCTCCTTGCTCAACCATGGTGTGACCCTAGGCTACAGATCCAGCCTGGTTCCCCTCATCTGTAAAATGGGGGTGATAAGGGTCCCCATCCCCAAGGGCTTGGAGAGACGTAAAGATCAGTCAGGTTAAGCACTTAGCATCCAGAGAGGGACAGTGGCAGTAGAAAGAAAAGAGGGGAGGGGAACAGAAGGATAAAAAAGGGACACAATTAGCAAATGTCCATGACCCCTCTCCACCCCAAGACTCCAGCCACCGTCTATCTTTCATGGCTTTAAAACCACTGTTCTCTGCCATATGACTCCTTATTTCAAGGGTCTTTTAAAAAGGTCTATACCCTTTAACTTATTAATTCTACTTCCAGAAACACATTCTAAGAAAATAATCAGAGTCACCTCTCAAACACATGCAAAAACGTTCATCACATCATTAGTGGTAATGTGAGGAGAAATTGGAAAACATTCAGAACTAGGTTTTGATTGATCTTAGTCTTCTATAGCTGTACAATGGAATACTATGCAGCCCCTAAAATCATAAGAAGAGTTACTTAAGGACATGGACAAAATATACTCATGATGGGAAGTGAAGGGAAATCCCAGTACAAGAATACATACACACAAGCACACACAGAGACACACACAGACACCATTCAGCAGTACATGCAACTATTAGTCTTGTAAGAAATACACCAAGATGTTAGCAGTATTTCTCTACAAGTTGTGACATCATAGGCCATTTTTTGGTTTCTTTAAAATCTTCTATACTTTCAAGTTTTCTACAATATACGAGCTGTATTCTTAGAAATTAAAGCATTTAAAAGGTCTTTATAAGGTTTCCAGTAGGGTAGGAGATTCCTTCAGACCTATCACGTGGCCTTTACCTTCTATAAGCATGGCTGTGGTCTTCTCTCGGCCAAGGACCATGTTGCGGATGGTGCAGGACACGTTCCCCAGAGTGTTGTCCCTGATTCTGCTGGACACTGCTGTTCGGAAGAGTCCGGTTGCGTCCAGGGTGTGATCCTCAGACAGGGATAGAAGCCTCCTGCCTTCCGGGTCCCTCCATTGGGCCCAAGGCTGTGGGAACCATCCCACCGACCTGCACACAAGCTGGATCCAACCAGCATTGTAGCCCTTCATGTGGATGTAAGGATCAGAACCTAGAACTGGAGAGCAGAGACTACCTGGCTGAACCAGCCCAGAAATAGATTGACAGGGCCTCAGCAAGGGCATGGTTCTAGCCAGAGCCCTCGTCTACTTCTGATGAACTGTTATTGACACTTTAATGCCTACTTTCTCCTCACTCCTCCATTCTCCTCCCAATGGGATAAGACAGTGTCTAGCTTTACCCAAATATAATTGAAATCCACCCAAAGCTGTAAGTGCCCATGATACCTGGTCTTCTGATACCTTGTTCCCCACTTTCCAGGATTTTAAAAAATTTTTATTGATTGATTGATTGATTGTAATACTAGGGATTGAACCCAAAGACACTCTACCCCTGACCTACATCCCCAGCCCTTTTAATTTTTTATTTTGAGATAGGATCTCACTAAGTTGACAGTGCTAGCCTCAAACTTGCGGTCCTCTTGCCTCAGCCTATCCAGTTGCTGGGATTACAGGGATGTACCACCACACCCAGTTAGCACCTCAGTCCCTTTTAAAAATTTATTTTGCACCCCAAAGGACCTGTGTTTAGAAAGAGTCTTTGGGGGCTGAGGATATAGCTCAGTAGGTAGAGTGCATGCACAAGGCAACAGGTTCAATCCCCAGCACCACAAAAAAAAAGAGAAAAAAAAAAAAAGAAAACCAGAAGAGTCTTTGTACCACCTATTGTGTTTTTGGTTTTCAGGGCTGGGGATCAAACCCAGGGCCTCACTCACACCGACTTGGTGAGTACTCTAACTCTGAGCCACTTCCTCAGCCCTTGTATATTTTAAAGGAATTGATTTACTTGCTCTTTTCAGAGTGTGACTAAGCTATGACCAAAATCAGTGTGGTATCACTCAAGCAAATGCAAAGGACTTGGGTTGGGTTGAGTTTTGGGTAGGCTGATTTTTTAAATATTGAAGATAGTTTGAGAAACACTGCCTCTACCTTCCTGGCTCTTTAAGTATTCTGGAAGCCCAGAAGAGGACCCATTCAGTATATCCACGTCACATCCAGGATTCTGGCCCTTGAGGACTTTTCCTTACAATTGTAGTTACGAGTTCCTTAATAATAAGGGCAAAGAACCAGGATCTGCATTGCACAGTGTTTTTCAAAGTCCCTGTCCCTTCCTCATCAGAAACAGAGTCACTGCTTCCACCAAAATCAGTGGGACCAAATGGTAAGGCTGAACCATCCAAGCAGTAAAAACTGTGCTTGCAGATCAAAGAAAATTCTAGATAAGGAGGGACAAAGCAGGTATTGACAAAGCCTATCTAACTGCCACAAATGACCCCAGGCACCTCAACCCCATCCTAACCTGCAACCTGAAGAGTCACGGTCCCCTCTCGACTCAGGTTTCCGACCTGGATCTGACATTGGTATGGACCTCGATCCTCAAGGGTCACATTGCGGATCTGTAGAGTGACTTTTCCCTCTTGGATGTCTCTCACCAGCGTCGTCCTGCCCTTATATTCCGGAATCAGATCTTCATCCCTGTCCTTTCCATCCCGGAACACGTGAACAGTCTGGGAGCGTTGCGATTGGGAGGGCCGCAGCCACCTTATCTGCATGGGCATCGACACCGGCCAGAGAGACAGAGGGCAGAGCAGCTCGGCTGTGGCCCCTAGCGGGGCGAGGTGGAACTTGCTGACATCTCCTGGGAGGCGCCGGGAAGGGGGGGCGGGAAAGATAATAAGGATCTGGGAGGGGAGGATGCAGGAGGAACGACTCGGAAGGGATGGAAAGAAATGTGGCAGAAAGAACTTGGGAAGGGATAAGGACGGGGATATACTGGGGGAAGGATATAGCCTAGGAAAAGCACTGGGAAGGATTGGGAGAAAAAGGGAACCCCCAAAGAAATAAGATCTCAAGCCACGCCTCCTCATTCTGGAGACTCCAAGGTCAGACGTCTTGTCCCTGGCAGGGAAAGAAATTCCTAAACTCCTACCTGACAGGTGCGCAGGCATCTGCAGGATGACCAGAGTGATGAGGCAGCTAGAGAACCAGGAGCCAGGGGAACTTGCCATCTCCTTCCGAACTAAGACAGACAAGAGAAGAACTCTGGTGAGTTTGACAGGAGGGACCGTATCACCTAGGAGGTGGGGCTGAGACCCAGACCCCATGGCCCGCGTTCAAGAACTATACAGACCTGCTTCCAAGTCCAGCTCCACCACTTACTCCCTTGTAACAGGGTGACTGAACTTCTTTGAAATGCTGTTTCTTCATCTTTATAATGGGTACAATAACCATGCCTCCTTGCAGCATTATTGTGAAGGTAGAAGGAGCTAAGTGCTCTGGGAGCCTTAAATCTATAAAAACTATGAATAAGGATAATGATGGGGATGAGACAAGTGAACACTGAGTGTGATTTAGAAGGCAAAAGGAAGAGTCTGGGAGAATGAGAACGTATACCCAGAACTAAGCAAATAAGTACTGGTCAGACTACTGGCCTCTTGCATTTAGTTTCCAGGCCAGGCTTGAGAAATGCCTGTTTCAAACTAATCTTCACCCACCATATAGCTTGGAGCTCCTCCCTAACGGTCTTTTAAGTTGACATGCAACAAACTAATCTTCAAGCTCTTTCCCGTTCATCATAAAGGTACTAATCCTACAAACTCGGGGTCTGGAGTTGAAAAGACTTGGGTTAAAGTCTTAACTCTACCCATTTACTATCCCCAGGAAAGCTGTATAACATCTGCACCTTTCAGGTTCCTAACCTGTAAGAGGAGGCCTTCTTCAGAGGAGATTGAGAGGATTCAAAGGCAGGAAAGCGCAAAGCACAGACCACAGCTGCACACAGGACAATATGGAGATGTTATTATTACTGAACTATTCCTGGAAGGTAGAGATCACTGTGTGCACTGCCCAAGGGACACCCCACAGTGTTCCTACTGTGAAACTCTGCCCCCACCTACTTGCTACTGTCTGAGACTCCTTCAACAGGAAACGGAATTTCTCATGCTACAGTAAGGATAAAGTTTATGTACAGTCTTAGAAGACAGAACTCTCAAATTCTCACAGTTTCAGATCCTTTCCAAAGAGGAGGTTTTTGTAGAGGTCAGCAAGCCTGTTCCCACAAGGTCATAGATTGGACACAAATGAGACTTGGAAGGGGTGTCAAAGGGAGAAGCCAAAGGTGAACTTCAAGCTCTGAACGCATTATTGCTTCAAACATCCAATTCTGTTTTTCTCATGGCAAAACACACACTGGTTTAGAGTTGGTTTTGTTTTTTAATCATGATGCATACAACATACCCTGTAATCCCACATAACAGGAGGCCAAAGTGAGGTTAAGATTACATTACGACAATTCATATTCATTCATTCATATTCTCTCTCTCCCTCCCTCCCTCCCTCCCCAACCCACCCCACCCCATCTCACCTACTTACCTACAGGTTATCAGTTACTCAGAAACTGAACAAAAGAAATTAAGTACATGAGAAAAACTCTCTACCTAATTATGATTGAAGTTGAAAGTAAGTAGGGTCCAGGATCCCCACAATTTAACAATAATTATCAAATGATTTGTGAATATGAAAAAGTTTAATTCATCAAGAAATCCCCACAATTCTCAAAACCCTCAATTTCTTAGTAATTGTAAAACACACCCTAGTAGATATACCCAGTATGTGACCCAGAACTCCCAGCTAAACAGGGGCTGCCTGAAATCAAATAAGAGGGGACCTGAATTCCTAGGTGCAGACAATTAATGAAGTGCTTAAGAGGTTCTAGTCCTGGCTTTGCCATTTCCTAGCTGGTGACCTTAGACAGCTTAATTTTCATCTCCAAACTTCCTCTCAAACTTCAGGGATTGAACTCAGGGTACTCGACCACTGAGCCACACCCCCACAGAAAATGAAGTTAATAATTGTACCTACCTTGTAGAGAGGGTTATAGTGAAGTGATTTGCACTGGACGCTGGAAATTTAAAAAGCAAGTGAGGTTCTATCAGGTTGTTGCTCTGTGTAAAAAGGCAATTGAGGTGACTTCAGGAGAGGAGTCTCCCTGAAGCACATCACCAAGCTGCCAATGAATGGAAAGCAGCCCTATGAACAGACGAACCTAAGAAAGGATGACGTCAGAAGTAGAGTACTCACTCTCCAGTCACAAGAGCAAAGCAAGGGAAAACCATGATTAAGCATCACTTGTCTTCCTTTGAATACTCAAATATGATAAACAGCAATAATACCCAGCGTCGTCACACACATGGGCAAACTCTCTTTCACAAGGACAATTTAGCAATAATTATAAAATGATTCAAGAATATGCCAAGTTTTAATTCATAAATTTCACTTCCAGAAAATGATCCCAAGGAAATAAATAAGGATTTGCATAGGGGTTTAATGATGAGGATGAGCATCACACAGTTATTCATTAAAAAAAAAAAAACAACAACTAAAAACAACCTACTAAAATGGGAACAGTTAACTATTTATGGTACATTCTTACAATGGAATACTACAAAGCATTTCATAATCACATGGGAGAAAAATCTTTAATAGCCCTGAGGAATTGTCACTACAATAAGTTTTTAAAAACTATATATAGTATGATGATTTGGAAGAAAATAGGCAAGAATGTAGATATTAAACAGTGGCTACTCCTGAGTGTAGGGAGAGGATTAAGGTCATCCTATGGTTTTTGTTGTGTATTTTCCTTTATATTTTCCAAATTTTCTGCCTCAAATATATAGTATTTTGATTGTCAGAAAACAAAGTTATTAAGAGGAGGAGGAGATGCCTGATCAAGAAGGGAAGGAGGATGGTAGAATGTGATGGACATCATTATACAAAGTACATACATGAAGACTTGAATTAGGTGTCAACATACTTTATATACAAACAGAGATACAAAAATTGTGGTATATATGTGTATTAAGAATTGTAATGCAAAAAAACCACAAAGTACATGTATAAAGACATGAATTGGCGTGAACATACTTTATATACAGAGATATGAAAAATTGTGCCCTATATGTGTAATAAGAATTGTAATGCTTTCCACTGCTGTCGTATATTTTAAAAAGAAAAAAGAAAGAAAGAAAAAAGAAGGGAAGGAGAAAGAACAGAAGCAGAGCTGGAGGTCCCCATGGAGTCGAGTACACAGTAGCTCAGTGGGGACCTCTAGCCCACAGTGTAGAGGGTAAGATTAAGAAGCACTGCCAGTGGGTATTTTTTAATGGATGTAAGAACCATTTGGTCACCATATGGAGTTCTAGGATTGATTCTTCTGATCTGATTGGCCAGAATGGCCCTTCCCCCATCATGTTCTCATGTAACATGTATGAACATTATAGTACTCACTATTATATTAGTGTATGACTGAATTAACATGGACATACATGTCCATTTTTTCTTTTTTGGTACCTGGGATTGAACTCAGGGGTACTCGACCACTGAGCCATATCTCCAGTCCTATTTTATATTTTATTTACAGACAGGGTCTCACTGAGTTGTTTAGTGCTTCACTTTTGCTGAGGCTGGTTTTGAACTCGCGATTCTCCTGTCTCAGCCTCCCAAGCCGCTGGGATTACAGTCATCAAATATATTTTTAATTGCAATATGGTTCTATATTAACAATAGCTCCCATTTATTGCATCTTAGATACTCTAAGAATACTGTCTTTAGTACTGACAACAACTGTGAAAGAAGATATTGTTGACCTTTTACAATTAGAACAAGCAAGGCAATTATGCACACGTTGAGGTACTATGCAAGTGAAATTGCCAGAACTTTTCTGGAAGCAGAATGCAAAACATGGGTAAATAGATGCATGAATGAATGAATGTTTGCATGCATAGATCTGTCATGAGTTACAAAATGATCAAATGATTCCTCACTTTACAGAATAATTATCATGGAATTCCTTTATGAAGATATTTCCCCTAATAAATATAAAACATGATTTCACTTCCTAAAGTTTAACATACATGCCACGATTTGGGGCTTTTTCTCTCCTATTTATTGTAAGAAAGTCTAGAAATCCCCCTCTCAATTTTGAATCATTTATAATATTCTTCGAATCTTTCTTTTTTAATTTTTAGTTGCAGATGGGCACAATACCTTTGTTTATTTATTTATTTACTTACACTCTTACTTTTTATGTGGTGCTGAGAATTGAACCCAGTGCCTCATACATGCTAGGCAAGCACTTTACCACTGAGCTATAACCCCAGCTCAATTATTCAAATCTTTTTTCCATGCATGTATATAACCTTTTAAAAAAAATAGGGTATGCTGTATCATCTTGATATCTGATATTTTCACCAAGCACTACAGGATACACATTTTCCAATACCACTAAATATTTTTAATGGCTCCAGTATTCAATCACAAACATTGAGAATTTTTAAAATAATTTCAATTGTAGGATATCTCCATTGTTTTCTAATGCATGGCTGTTCTGAACATTGCTACAAGCGATGTTCATTTGATTGATGGGCTGGAATCAGGAGGCTTAGTCCTAATGGTGGAGTGGCCCCTAACTACCTGTATGACTTTACATGGTTAAGCAAGTCATTTAAACTCTTAGGCCTTGAGTTTCTCATCTTCAAAATAGGACTTTTAATTTGCATTACCAAACTGCCCGTCAGAAAGCTCATATCAATTTTCAAAGTATGATAAATTACTTATTTCCTCCCACAACCTCGCCCTCAGTAGATATTATAAATTAAAAATTTCTTCTTGTTGTTGCTTTAGTGAGTAACAAAATGGCATCTCTTTTCTAAAAATGTAATGGTCTTTCATTTTCATTTGAATTTCTTTGATAACTCATTTATTATTTGGGTTTTGTCAATGATCTGCCTATGTACTTTGTTCATTTTTTGTTGGAGGGTTTGTTTCTTAATAGTTTCCAAAATGATTCATATAAGTAAGCAATTTTTTTCCACTACACATGTTGGAAATATTTTTCCCCAGGCAGTCATTTACATTTTAAATTTGAAACTGTTGAATTTTAAAAACTTATAAATCAGAAAAAAAAAAAAAAGATTACAACAGACAGTCCCTTGCCAATCCCAAGCAGTTTAAGAAAACCCTGCCAGTCTACAAATGATCGGTCTGAAATCGCACAGCACAGGACCCAGAAGATAGTACAGGCTAAATACACATTGGTTATAATATTAATAATGATGACAGTAATAGCTAGAGTCTTTAGATAAGTCTGTCTGTCCTTGTCCCCTTTTATGTTCTTTAAATGACAGTTAATCGCTGTCCAATTTCATCCTTTAAGATATTCTTGAATAAGAAGAAAAAGGATTATTTCTCCACTGAACCTCAGAATCCCAAGAAATCTAAAGGATTAAAAAGAATGAAAAGAGGAAAGAGAACTCACCACTTCTGGGAACAGGGTCTCTTGTCCTTCAGCAACAGAGCTGGAGTTTCCAAGCCGGGAACTCTCCTTGCCCCAAGTAGGGAGGTCAGGCACCAGGCCAGAGGATCAGGAAGGGTCCCAGGAGGAGAGCCTGGGGAGAGTTCATATTTTATTCTAAAGACCAAAGCCCCAAGCCAGGGGCTCCCTCTGCCCCACTGACTCCCTTCTTGCTGTCTCTATAAACAAACAAGCAACGCCCTGCCTGCCTGTCTGTTTCTGATAAAGAAGCAGAGCAAAGAGGAGACTCCCTAAAAGCGAGGGAACCACTGGGGGCCATTGGGCCTAAGGGACCTTTATCCTGACTCCCTTTTCCTCCACTGCTCACAGCCAATAATGGTTCCTTCTGCTATAATTTGATCCTATCACACCCTTTTCGAAAAGCTTGCCCCCCTTCACCTTTCAAATCAGAGTAAATTAGAAGATCGGTTTCAGAGACACCCACGAATTAGCCACGTTCTTTAATTCACTACCTTTATCTCCAACCACACCTTGATGTGTGTTTTCCAATAAGCAAACGTGCTTACTGTCCCTCAACATGTGATAAACTCTTTCCCTCCTGTCTTAATCCATAATCCTATACCCACAATATCCATAATTTATTCTTAATAATGTATTGTATTCTTGAGGTACTTTGAACTTTATAAAGATGCACTCATTACACAGTGAGTACAATGATTTCCTTTTTTCACTCAATATTATTTTCTAAATCTAGCAGGTTCTTGTGGTGGCCCATACCATGGTCCCTCAATTCATCCAGTTTCAGAGTAACTGAGACCTGAAGGCAAGCTGCCCAGTGTGCCACCTCACAGGCACAGCACTTCTTTGCTTACCTGTGTCCCAGACTCTACAAAGTTTCTGTAGGCTTTTTAGCCTGTGGGCAACCCCAAAGTTCACCCAAGTTAATGCCCTAGGGGCATCAGCCAGTGGTAATGGGAGTCAGTGGGAAATGCCCCAACCTCACACCTTCAGAGGGACACTTCTGAGCCATATTCTAGTTGATTCCTTGGAGAGTTCCCAATGGGACTGAGCAGGGCAGCCTATAGTCATAAGTAGCTCAATACTGCCCATTATCTCAGCTTTTCTTCCTTTTTTCTCACTCCCATTTCTAAATAAATTTGCATGGAAGGGTTTGCTTCACACTCTGCTTTAAGACACTGGAATTCATTCAAAGTACAAGGCCCAGCACCAATCTCCAGCATCTCCAAAGGAAAGAAAATGAAAGGAAACTCACCCAGATTGCTTCACGGAGTTCAAGAACATTCATTCACTGCTGTATAGTAGCAAATATATCAAGTTTGTCTGGTCCCTTGTTTAAAGAAATGTGGGTTATTTCTTTTTCTTTTACAAACAGTGATGCTCTGAAATTCTTCCTCCTTCCTTCCTTCCTTCCTTCCTTCCTTCCTTCCTTCCTTCCTTCCTTCCTTCCTTTTTCTTCTGTTACTGGGGATTGAGCCCATGGCTTTACACATGCTAGGCAAGCACTCTACCACTAAGCCACATCCCCGGACCTGAAATTCATGATAGAACCATTTCCCAGTTTCTAAGTACAAACTCCTTCAGGACTGCAGTTCTCAGTGTGTGTGGTGTGATCCATGAGCCCTGAAAATCCCTGAGACCCTTTCAGGAGGTCCACAAGGCAGGTCAAAATGATGTTCATATTAACACAATGGTGCTATTTGCCTTTTTCACTGTGTTGACATTTCAGGGACACCACAAAAGCAATGATGGACAAAACTGCTGGCAACTTAATGCACATCAATGAGTGACACCAAACTGCAGTGAAAGCTACCAATTTTATTACATCTCAACACTTGGAGACATACTTTTTCAATATTCTGTGAAATCAAAGGGGAAGGAAACAGTTCTGCTGCTTCTCAGTCTTACAACTTTCTCAAGGACATACATAGTGGTGGTTGACCTGTGGGCTGAAGAAGTCACTCAACTCACGGAGTGTCACTCTTACCTGGGAGGACAGCTCACAAACTATGGTCACTCAGATTTTGGACTTGTCGGGCATTTTCTCCCAAAGGAAAGAGGCATACCTGTTATCTCAAGAAGAACAACTGGCAGTGTTAATTGCCAAGGAGAAAATACAGTCTTTTGAGTGAAAATTAGAATTCTGAAAAACTCTTATCTGTTACCATGAGCCTAATAACTTCCCAGTAATGAAAGACCTTTCTGATGAGATTGGTAATGGTATGGCTGAGTGGGATTTCTTAATATTGTATAATGAAATGTGTCAACCTTTGGAAGATCCGCATATGTCAGCATACCAATAATTTCCAGGTGACCAATGCACATCTTGCAAAATCATGCACAGGAAAAGATCCATTCAAAATGCAAGATCTACTAGTGGGTCTTACTATAATGGAGTACAAGAAGCTCATTGCTACGGTTTCAGAGTCCATGTCTCAATTAACCTTTAGGAAGCTACCACTTGCTGAGTTTTGGCACGGTGTCAAAGAAGAGTATTCAAGATTAGCTAAAAAGGCTGTCAAAATGCTCCTTTTCCAATTATATACACTTCAATCACACAACATGCTGCTGCAGATTGGAAGAAACAGCTGATATGAGAATACAGCTGTCTCCTTAAGTGACTGTCTAGCCACTTAAGATTTCCAGAAATATAAAACAGTGCCACTCTCCTGAAATATTTTTTCTCAGAGAATAGTTGGTTTTTTTTTACGAAAACATGTTATTTATGTTAACATGTAATATGTGTATTACGTTTATTTTAAGTGAAGCGATAGTTATATTTACTATTTATCAGTTTTAACTTCTTTTAACCAACACATCATTGCACCCATGTATGGGGTATAGTGTGATAATTTGATACATGTACAAAATGCACAGTGATCAAGTCAGGGTAATTAGCATTTTCATCTCTTCACACATTTAACATTCATTTGTGTTTGAAAACAAAAGTTGGGAAACTTCAAACTCCTCTCTTCTAGTTATTTTTAAACATATAATAAATTGTTGTAAACTATAGTCACCCTACTGTTACCATAAGACACTAGAACTTATTCCTTCTAACTGTATTTTGGTACCCATCATAAACTTTTCTCATTTCCATCACCCCAAGTTTTAATTTCTAATCTGGCAAATTTTGAAAAGCATAACCCAAATAATTGAAGCTCTTTGAGATCCTCAATAATTTTAAGAGTGTGAAGTTTTCCTGAGAATATGTACCTGGAAGTGGTATTGTGAGGGTGTAGCTGATATTCAATTGCATTCCAAAGTGATTGTACCAACTTATAATTTAACTTTCTTTTTTATATATTTATTTTTTAGTTGAACACAATACCTTTATTTTATTTATTTGTACCTTTATTTTATTTATTTATTTTTATGTGGTGCTGAGGATTGAACCCAGGGCTTTGCACATGCGATGCGAGCATTCTACTGCTGAGCCACAACCCCAGCTCCTAATTTAATTTTCATAATTAGTATTTTTACTACTTCCTCAAGGAATGCATTAATTTTATCAAATAATCTAAATCACATTTAAAATGAATTTCTTCTCTGAAATTTTCTTTTTGGGTTTATAACCTCGGGATAAAAATAGATAAAATAGATATCACTCATTGTAATCCCCCAAATCTAGTGACAACCTCTATGATATTTTTGGCCTGTATGCTTACACACCTTTTCTTCTCCAAAACGAGGCTACAATATACATAATAATGAATAAACTCTATTTTTACTTAGGTGTACTTATAATAGTTTTAATCTCAATTATTTCTTGATTTTGTCCCTATTTTTTTTTAATTTATTTTTCAGGAAAACTTGAACAACTCAGAGGTCAAAATCTAAATATTCAGTCACACTGTGCTTTAAAGAAAAAGATGCTCCTCTGGACTTCTGGCTATATAAACACGGTTCACTGAACACCAATGCATATTTCTCTCTCCTGAAATCCCACCAAAATGACAATCTTTTTTTTTTATTTGATACCAGGATTGTCTAGTCTTTTTTATTTTTTATTTTAAGACAAGGCCAAACTAAATTACCCAGGCCTTCTCTTATTTACTGAGGCTAACTTTGAACTTGCTATCCTCCTGCCTCAGCCTCCCGAGCTGCTGGGATTACAGACGTGTACCACCATACCTAGCTCAAAATGACAATCTTGAAATAAAAAAGGAAATGCTTGCAAAGACAAAGAGATGGGAGAAGAAATAACTGTGAAACAAAGATGTCAATTCACTTTGAATCGAGGGAAGGAAATGGATGACTAGTAATGGATCTAGTAAAAACAGAAATCTAATCTAGGTGCCTATCGGGTTGGGATACCAATAAGAAGAAAGCTAATTCTCAAATGAGAAGCTTTCAGTCTTGGGATGGGTGGGCCCAGGGCATGGCTCCATCTCATTGGGTTGCAGTAAAGATTAAATTTGTTGAAGCATGTAGGTCAAATACTAAATGATGAACACTATTATTACCTGAGGAAAGACTCCAACTTGAAAGCTAGAGATGAAAATAAACAAGAGACACTAATCTAGGAAGCAGAAAACACCAGAAACTAGGCACAGTTGCACACAGCGTAATCCCAGCAACTCTGGGGAATGAAGCAGAGAATCCCAAGTTCAAGGCCAGCCTGGAAAATAGCAAGACAAGGAAAGAAGTAAGGAAGGAAGGTCCAGAAAAATTACAATTAGTATCTACATAAACATGAAATAAGAAAATATCCTGAATCCATAATGCAAAAGCAAGAGGTCACACAAAAAATAGGAAACGAGGAAAAACTATTGGAAATTAAGGTTTTTGTACTAGAGGGGCTGATGGTGTAGGTCAGTGGTAGAACACTTGCCTGGCATATGTGAGACCCTGGGTTGGATCCCCTACATGGGGAAAAAAAATGTATGCAGAAATGAAAAAATTCAATAGAAGAGTTGGGGGATACAATTGAAGAAAATTTCTTATAAAGTAGAACAAACAAAAGCAAGAATTAGAACACAAAAGAGTAAAGATTTTAAAAATCAGGGAACTGATCACAGAGAATGTTTCTCAGAATTGAAGACTATTATTTCCTGACTGAAAAAGGCCACCAAGTGCCCAGCACAATGAACAAAACAGATTTACAGTACCCATTATTGCAAAAGTTCAGAACACAAGGATAAAGAGGAAAAGAGAATCCCAAATGCTCCAGAAAACAACAAACAAC